TTATGTTGGATATAAGAATAACAAAGGCAGCCCTTAATACTGATGTGGATGTTGGACTTCAGGTTTAAGCTGCTGTCCCAGGAGGAAGGTGAATACTTCAGTGTTCCTGTCCAACCAGATGGAGAAGACTGCAATGATGCACTCCGACAAAAGTTTGATGTAAGATTTAGACAAGTAGAAAAGCTCAATTTGATTCTGCTGATTTGTTTTAATTGGGCTGTATTTCTGTTGTTCTAAAGAGGGCAAAAATAGGTCCAGGAAAACCCACGGACTCTTCCTCATCTTCGGTTTACAAGTACGACAGTAACGGCAATCAGGACCGCGTCAAGGTCACCGACTTTAACTTTATCATGGTTCTTGGGAAAGGCAGCTTTGGAAAGGTGAGTCCTCTCTTCAGATGTGTGTTTTGTTTTAATGGAAAACCAGAACCGAGTTTAATTTCCATGGATTCCCTTTAGGTGATGTTAGCGGAGAGGAAAGGTACAGATGAGTTGTATGCCATCAAAATCCTAAAGAAGGATGTGGTGATCCAAGATGACGATGTAGAGTGCACCATGGTGGAGAAAAGAGTTCTGGCTCTGTCTGGAAAGCCTCCGTTCCTCACTCAGCTGCACTCATGCTTCCAAACTATGGTAGGGTTTGTGCAAAAAGATCTTCTGGCCAGTCTTCATATGAAACTACTCTTTGTTTGTTTTTTCCTTTTAGTTAGATCACCTACCTTTACTTACTTCCCTGTAGGATCGGTTGTATTTTGTCATGGAATATATCAATGGAGGAGATCTGATGTACCAAATCCAACAGGTTGGCAAGTTCAAGGAGCCTCATGCTGTGTGAGTATTCATTGAACCACAGATACGTTTGAGTCTGCAAAACCACATTTTGTCTTACTTTCTACCTGATGTTAAAGAGAAGTTTTTGATGTCTGAAAGACACGGCTTGGTATATATTGAAACAGAGACTTAAGGATTCTGAGGAGGATTTTTCTGACAGTCTCAGCCTGGAAAAGATCAGACTCTGCAGACACAACTTCAACAGAGCCATACAACCATGCATACATACACACAATCAAACAGGGCAATTTAGAGATGCCATTTAACCTAACATTCCTGTTTTTGGACTGGGGGAGGAAGCCGGGGTACCCGGAGAGAATCCAGGCATGCAAAGGGAGAAAATGCAAACTCCATGCAGAAAGACACCGGGCCGGAATCGAACCTGGACCCTTCTTGCTGCAAGGCAACGGTGCCACAGTGGTGCAGTTTGTAGCACCATCACAATCTCATGACTATTCTTTGCATAAGTCTGGAATTTTAAACTGTACCTAGATCCAAGCACACCAGTCCAATCAGGGCTCATGTTAGACCAGTTTGTTGGCAGGGAACATTTTGGCTGAGATTGCTACAGATTGTTGAACAGCAGGAAATAAATTTAAAGAACCATATAAGGGAAGATAAAGTTTGAGCACAGATATTGGCTGGAGATGTGAAGAGAGATTAGCATGCTTCCATTCAGCCATCCAAACTTCCCCTTCTCTTCTCTTCCTAAGGAACCAAGCATCAGTCAATGAATCTATCAATTTATCCGATCTATCAATTTATACGGTCCATATCTTTCATCCATACATCCATCACACTATGTGGTCCTCTGCTAGCTTCAACAACAAAAAAGATAGAAAATTAGCTCTGGTGTTTTAACATGGGCAGCCTGGGTTTTATCAGGTTCTGATATACTAAACCAACTCTGACTTTGCCAGCAAATGGAACCACATGGAAGAGTTTGTTAATATGAGTACACCAAAAAAATCCTACATGTGTACAAAGAAAACTGGTGAAAAAAAGGAAGGGGGTGCAAACAATGCAAATGTTTTGTTCCTCTTTTATTTTTTAGTCATAGTATTTCCTCTTCTTTTTTTCTTGGACTTAAATTTCTAACACAAAGCAAACTATCGCCTCCTTTGAGCAAAGCCTTTCTCAAGATATTATAGGAGTCATCTACGTTACTCTTCCTGTGCCGAGATATACCTCAAAACATCTCACAGATGTTTTGAGGTATATATAGATACCTTATTTTTAAACCAAAAACCATGAAAATATCAGAGCATTATCTTCCAAGAGTTGCTGCATCTTTACTGTATGAAGTCTAACGTTGTGTTCTGTGTTTCAGGTTCTATGCAGCAGAAATTGCAATTGGTCTCTTCTTCCTTCACTCCAAAGGCATTGTGTATCGGTGAGTCTGTTATTCACTCCTCTCCACTTATTTTGAGCCTTATATATTTTTTTCTAAATATACAGGTGTAAGTAATAACTGGGAGTGGGTATTTGTGATTCTCTGCAGGGATCTGAAGCTGGACAATGTGATGCTGGACTCAGAAGGCCACATAAAGATCGCCGACTTTGGCATGTGCAAAGAGAACATGTTTGACGGCATAACAACGAAGACTTTTTGTGGGACACCAGACTACATTGCCCCAGAGGTGAGTTAATGTTTTCTTCTGAAGTTTAAACGGATGCTTTTGATTGTTTTTTTCCCCAAGTTTTGATAGTCATGTTTCTCCTTTTTGCAGATCATAGCCTATCAGCCTTATGGGAAGTCTGTTGATTGGTGGGCTTTTGGAGTACTGCTTTATGAAATGCTTGCTGGACAGGTTTGTGAAACTCTTGTTTTTCAGTGACTGTAGGATACTATGGACATGCACTGGCAAAACTATAAGTTTATGTGTCATCATCGTACCTTTAGTGCTAAAGTATCCCATAATCTCTCTTTGGGAAATGTTAGATTTCGAACAGAACTGTCAATAGAATGAAGCCCAGAAGAACACCACATGTGATTGCTCCTCAAAAGATCTAAAGGACTATAGTAGTGAAGAAGCCTACTCGTATTTCCATCAATAATGATCAGCTGTGTCCAACACCTTATTGTGGTCTAGTGATAGACATTTTAGATGCTGCATTGTTTATAGAAGCGGCTAAAAAACGTTCAAAATTTTGTTCTGAGCTATGATATTGGAAATAAGAACTGAAAATTGTGCTTTTGTTCCTCTGCAGCCTCCGTTTGATGGCGAGGATGAAGACGAGCTGTTCCAGTCAATCATGGAGCACCATGTATCTTACCCTAAATCCATGTCGAAAGAAGCTGTTGCTATCTGCAAGGGGGTGAGGACACACTTCAGTTCACATATATTGCTGTTGTTGTGACATTATTTTATTGAATATTTAATCAAATAACTTCAGGACGTTTGTGTTGTTCTGTGAACACACACCCATCTGGCTTTGTGTTAGGAAAACAGATGAAATAGGGCTTAAGTCTCTGCTCATGGTGGAAAGAATAACTTACACATATAGGAATGTATGAACAAAAATATTTCTACTACAGGTATAGCAGATTTTAGTTGAAAACACTTAGTGAAACTAATTACATTCTTTATAAACATAGAAGATAAAGGCAAATAGAAATGGTTGAAAACCATAATCTATAAAATGATGCAAGGGTTTTACAGTTCAACATGGATTTTATGTTTGATAACCAAAGTTTATCATAAAGAGTTTGTACAGAACTGAGTGTTCCTGAGATAATAACAGTGGGTAGGAACCCTGATGGCTAGGATTTACTTATTAAGACAATGGACCTCATGCCAACAGACACAAGGAGGGTGGTTTTAAAGTGCTCTTCTTACATATTTTAGGAATCAAATGTAATGAAGTTCTTATAACCTTATTTTAAAAAGACCAAAACCTATCAGGATCTGCTCCGACTTGGCTGTGGTTACTATCAGTTTCTGCTGGGTTGCTGTTAGAAAACAGCAAAACAAATGAAATAATCAGAAATCATAAAAAAGAATAATAATAATTGTTTAGTAGCAGACACCTTCACTGTCTTTGGACAGACTCAATACCTCTGTTGATTTCAGTTTTAAGAAAGGAGGAAGAGTTTCTAGATGCTACTGGCTGCCAATGGCTTGAAAGCCTGGCAGCAGGCTAGTTTTGTCCTTAGTGAGGCCTGATGAATTGTCTAACAAATAGCTCTTATAAAATTAGAGTGAGAAAATGTGCAGTTAGTCTGTTTTGCAGCTGTCTGGTTCTGGACAGTATGCTGCAGGGCTTACTTCACCTTCAACAGATTTTGGACAATGTGTTCCCTCATCCTGCAGAGACAGCCATTCAGGTGATTCCCCCCAATCTGGCTGTGCAATGGATACAGGGCAAAAGAGAAAGATAGACTTGACAGGGCGGGTTCACGTGGCTGCAGCTTGGAGATTAAAGCAAGCCTGCATCCTCTTCCACCAATGTTTAAAATAAATCATGGCTATTGCAATAAATTGTGCAAAAGTCTTTAATCACTAATTATCTTATTAGAACTGTCACAACCGACAATAAATCTATTCATGATGTCTATTATGTTTGTGTTAAATGACTTAACCCGGACAAGTATGATGCATTTATTGTAAACCAGTTGTAATTAAAAGTGGCAATGCATCAAACCTGTAGCTTTCAGAAAATTCAACCTATGCAGTTTCCTGAGCTGGAAAAACAGCAACCAGTGGGCTTCTCAGTCTTCACTGCCACTGGAAAGTTTAATGGCCTAAAACAATACAAAAAACTTCTCTTTTGGTGAAGTCGATAATCAGGCATTTCAAAAAATGTTTGAAACTTTTACATCAAATACGACATAACAGGAAAACAAACCCGTCAGAAAGCACCACAGCTGCACAAAAAACAACTTAAGACAATCTAAGATTTTTTTGGTTGTGTGTGACTTCTATTTCCATTTTATGTATTTTGGTTTTCTTTTTGTTTTTTTCTAACAAATTAATTCTTAGTTTAAAAAAAAAAAACTGACTTGAAGTTGTCCTCCAGTTCCAGCCTTCTTTAGAAATTAAAGTTTATTAATCTTTAATAAGGAATACTGACATAATTTTTGCATAATTTTGCAGATGATCTTATCATTTATCCCACTTATTTTTGGGATAATTTATCATGCAGAAAAACCTCTTTATTTGTAAATGTATGTTTTTAGCTGATGACCAAACACCCTGCGAAGCGCCTGGGCTGTGGTCCAGAAGGAGAAAGGGACATCAAGGAGCATGCCTTCTTCCGCTATATCGACTGGGAAAAACTGGAGAATAAGGAGGTCCAGCCCCCTTTCAAACCAAAAGCTGTAAGTATATTGCACACTTACAAACGGCGCACTTATAATGGTTTTCAGTCCCTACTTTTTGCATTAGAAATTTTCCCTAATAACAAAGGAGGTTGCATACTTAATCCCACCTGTGAGGTAAGTTATAGGTCTGGTTAAATCCTCCATTACCAGAGCACAACCATCCTTTACCATTGGTCACTACTCTGACAAATGGAAAACTAAGATTTGTTAGTGTAGTCACCAATGAAGAACCTGTATGCTCACTGCTTTCATATAGACCAATGGAATTCCACAGTTTTGGCTGTTGGTGATTTGATTGGTTGATGCCATGTTTTAGTTTTTCTCTTTTTTCTCTTTTTGTTGTTGTTGTCTCTGTTTTCTTCACCTCACCCTTCATCAAACTCAATCCATCCCTCTATCTCTCTCCTCTCCACGGCAGTGTGGGCGTGATGCAGAGAACTTTGATCGCTTTTTCACACGCAACCCCCCAGAGCTGACTCCCGCAGATCAGGAGCTAATATCCAACCTGGACCAGGAAGATTTCCATGGATTCTCATTTATTAACCCCGAGTACAACCACCCAACTCAATGATCATGTAACATATCTCCTGGCTTTATTAGAAACCGCCCACACTTCACAAGCAAACTTAAGAAGAAACAAACAAACAAAAATGAATTCTTATGATGTCATATCAGCAAACTTTAATTCATGAAGACCTGATGTAACATATTTACATTTTTTTTATAACTCAGGTCTGAAAGGTTTAAAGATATTTGAGCATTTGGGGAACATGTTTATTATTAAGTTTATTTTTGTTTTGTTTGTGAAGAGAATACCATACTGGTTTGTTAGAGATGGAGATGAAGGTGCTTTAGCTTAGCTTAGCATCTAGCCATAACTACAGAAGCATCTGAAAGTTAATAGCTTGCCTCTTCTATAGCCTACGTTCTACGCTTCCTATTTGTCAGTGATTATTTAATATTATAAATGGTAATAATCCAATACAGTTAAATTAAGTGTTTCATTTCATTAACAATGAAAATAAAACAAACCAGCACTATAAACGGGGGAGAAAAACAACATTATGCAAAAAACTGGTTCATCAGTGATGCAGCCGTTAGCTTAATGATCCAGAGACATCTGGAAACCACTAACATGCCTAATTTTACAGCCTATAAAACCCATCTTATTCACAGCATCCATTTCATATCAACAATAGAAAACAGCATTGTTACCTTTTGCCTTACAAGTGTCTTACATTTAGCTTACTTGAGTAAAGCATTAAATTCAGTATAAGCTTAGTTCACTGTAGCATGAAAGTCAGAAATGTTTGGGGAACCAGAAACAACTATTATTAGGACATAATTGCAGCACATCATGCACAAAGGTTTACATTGTTGGGTTTCACTTTTGTGGCCCATAAATGTCATATTCATGGTTAAAAACAAAAATTCTTTGCTTGAATTAGCATTAAGAGTTGCTGTTTAAAAAAAGGTATATTATTTAAACATTTTAATGAAACACTTTGTCTAAAACAAATACATAGCTAGTCTGTATATATATTCGTGAAACTAATTGTTTTCCAATTTCGCTTCGATTGATGGTGAACTATTTGGTAAATGCAGGTTTTTAACCTACTTTCAAAGCCAAAGGGGTCATTTGTGTCCTGAAAACTTTATTATTAAGGAAAAGTTGAGGCGATTTAATGGATGTTTATCAGACAAGTTACTCTAACATACTAGCGTCATTTAGGGTTTTATGCATAGTTTGTACTTTATTATTAAACACCTGTTTACATCCATGCAAAGCTGCCAGCGACTCTGTGCAGCTATGGTTAAACACTTTTGAAGTATCGGCTAGTTGTGGAAACATGGAAAAGCAGTGTGATAATCTATTTTCCCCCAATACTGATATTTTTCTTTTTAAGCTTTCAGAAAATGTACAGCAGCTGAACGCTACTCAATAGTTCCATCTGTCTGAGAACACAGTAGATCCAGAGGCAGCTGAAAGTCCATTTACCTGCAGCTTCTTATCTGCATTCTAACCTAAGCTTATCACCTTCAGTCTCCAGCTCTTTATCCAACAAGACCTTAACTTTTAGAAAGAAGGCAAAAAAATGCAACCTGCAAATGACAATTAGTTTAATATTATTCAGATAGAAATACAGACATATGCACAACTGAAAGCAACAAACCCAAATGATCATATATCCATGATTCAAGATACCAGGCCAGTATGTTTTCCAGTAGCAACTCTGTTCTGGGACCAGTGTAGTTAAGTTGCATCTGCTGCTCTTGTGTCAGCCCTTCTAGCTGTATTTCATCAGTATGGAAATGTTTCTTGCATTTGAATGCCTCACATCAAGCAGACTGCTGGATGCCAGAGTCCGACCTGAATGTGCTATGTCTCTGTATCACCCTCCCTGTAAACTGCCTATTGATTAGGACGACCCCTCTTCGATGTTGATGAGTGTACTATGATCACATGCTGGTAATTCATACAGTGTAAGTGAAAACTGACGATTGCTTTGCTATTATTGTTTGAATACTAGTTTCCTAATGTTGGCTTTACTTTTTGTAGGATCAAATACTATTACACTTTCTGTTGGATGTTGTGGTGAACTTGCCTGCATTATTTTTGCTGGTTTATGATCCTTGTGCACAAAAGCAGCAAGAGTTACAGATTTTTGTTTTTGCTTTCACTGTTTTCACTGGAAGGTTATTACTTTTTTCCCTGGAAACAAGTTTATCCCTATCACACTGTGTTTTTATTCACTGAGGGCATATCTTTTCTTGTAAAGTTTTTTTTTCCAGAATTGATCACATGACGTAGATATTTAGACTTTTGCAAAGTTGTTAGTTTGTTATCCTTCAGAAACAAGATTTTCCAGAAGTGCCAAAATAAGGTTCAGAATCAAGAGGATGTAGAGAAAAAAAACTGCTCCCAACAGCTGTGATAAAGAGCAGCCATCTAGTGCCATTTTGCAATACAGGTATGATCATCATGATATGCATTAGAGCCTTTCCTAACTGTTTACCAACATTATAATGTCCCTTGAAAGTTTTCATATATAAGATAAATCGTCTGAGTTGTATTATACTTTTGTAACTGTGTAACGATACGACGTAGTAACAATGTGTCAAATCTTGTTCTTTGAGCTTGTATCTCACAACAAGTGCAGGAAGGAAACATCAGAGAAACCTGCTTTTTAAAGATCACGATTCTCGCAGATGAGAACCATAAGCACTAATCGTGATAATGGTAACTGTGAAAAATGTTGAGATACAACAGAGAAATATATATATAGATATATAGAGAGAGATATATGAACTATTTGAATAAGTTTTGTTGGATGAGAGATGCTATTGTGGATTGTGTAATTGCCCCGTATGACTGGAAACTGATAATATACTCACTGGTGCCTGCCAGACTACTCCTGCTGTGTCTGCCTTCTTACTGTTGCAACATGTTTGATCATTTGTTCAACGCTTTGTTTTGGTGTCTTGGATTTTTTTCTTGGAGCGATACATCAAGTCGATAGTTTACAATGTCAGGTCCGGAATGCAGAACGCTGGTACCCTCGAGATGAGGTCAAATTTAGAAGATCATTGAACGAGCAGCTTTATAACCATATTTGTTACGGAAGATAAAGAATTAGAAAGTTATAACTGCAACTTATAATTATTTGTTATTGGACAATCATTCTAAGTCATTGCAACTGTTTCAAGTAGACTTTTCCAACAAAAAAAAAGAAGGAATTGAATTTGTCTTAGGCCAGCGATTTTTCTATTTTTCCTAATATATGCCTTTTGGTGATCAGTCTTAACTTATGCAAAGCCTGTTTTATGTTTTTTTTTTCCTTTTAAAATGTTTCCACATTTTAAGAGAAGGGCAGCAGAGTCGACATTCTCATGAATTCCCACAAATGTATTTCCCTTATAAGTGTGGCAACAATAAAGAGGGAGTAAACAGACTATACAACAGTTTAAGATTTATTGCCAAGAAGCAATGTTAAATTAAAAGTTCTATGTCATACTTTTTGTTAACCTGCCAAAGTCAACTATAGGACCATATATGATGAGATATTGCCTTTGGTACGACAGAGTATTAATTTGTTCTGAAAATTCTGATTATACTCCTGGTGATATTTTACCATAACCTGACTCCGCCAGATGGATTTGCTCCGCATATCCATCTGGAAACCTTCCGTTGAAGTAATTTTGGGAAGGGGCGAAAATACTGGTTAGCTGGTAGGCCTATGTTGGTGATAGATGGGCCAAATAAACCAATCAGATCAACGAAACCTATGACGTACTAACAGAGCGACGACGAAAACACAACCACAAGCCAGGCTACTCTTGCCAAAACCAGTCGGTAGAAGAGCAAAAACATCTTTTCCTCTGAGAAAAGCCTCCAGAGCAGTGTTTTGCTCTTCTTTCAGTGAAGAAATACTCTGTAATTCCGATAAAACTTGCTCGATAGCCACGCTAACGCTAGTTTCATCGGCTGAAGCCGCCATGTTCTTTAGACTGAACTGTCGAGCTTCTCATTGCGTCACACCTCAACCGCCTCAAAGCCAACGCTGATTGGATGTTCGTTTGGTGAACGGCTCCAAATTTTCTTTAACGGAGAGTCTCCAGACTGATCTGGGAGTGAAACCTTGAAAGCTCGCGAGATCAGGATGGTCTCACGAGTCTAATTTTCCCAACCCTAGAAAAAAAAAAACTGGACTTGCCTGTGATCCCGCCCCTTTTATGATCTCACCCTAAAGTTGCCTCAGTATGGTAACACGCCACTTCTGGTAATTAGGCTCTTCTTTGGAAAGGATAAATAAAGTCTAAAACCACATTTTAATGACTAGACATTAGCTAAAAGAAGAACAGTCGCTGTCACTGTGCAGATTAACTGCTAATAGAGCTCCTTCGTTTCAACTAGTGCTCTGCCTCACATCACCCATCATTGATCACAGAAAGTAGGTATTTTGTCTACATGTCAGGTGCAGCACGGTGAAGGTAGGTGTCTTCAGTTCCTTATTAAAATGTTAAGTTGTGTGCAGATTTTTAGGCTTGTAATATGAGGGGAAAAAACAGTTGAGGATCTGTTGAAAAAGACTTATACACCCAAATGTCAATTGTAAAATTGCCACTGAGAAATGGCTACGTTACCATCACCCTTCAAAACTACCCTAGAATCAAAAATAAAAACTTATTTCTTTCTGTATATTTTGTTTAACATTTTAACAGCTTTAACAAATTTTATTAAGAAGGTCCCACAAAAAAATGCCTCTCATTAAATGTGAGTACAAAAAACCAAAAAGATGCCTTTAGAATAGGACATTTGTGCTGTATTGTGACTTTTTTTTTTATAGATCTTAGATATCACCACAGCTACATTTATTCAGCATCAGCTAAAGATACAGCTCAATCGATCAGAAGATAATGAAAAATAACTTTTTTAACAATATTTTAGAAAGTGAAATCAGTAAATGCATTCATTGGTGGATAATCCAGGCACAGAAAGTAGAAAGTCTGTACATTTACTTTTAACCATTTGCTTTTAAAGCTCCACCATACAGATTGAGATCTAATCACCTGGTTAAGTGAACAAGATGATGGTAAATTCTGCAGTTTTCTGGGCTTGGATTATTCACATATTGACTACATATAAAGAAATATTGCCAGCCTTTATTTCTTGCGATTGTGATTATTGTGGCTTAAATACAATGGTAAGTAGAAATTGAGTGTTTCAAAAACTTTTAATATACCCTATCTGTAGAAAGGTGAGTATATGAAGATAAAAACTGGTCTGAGCTATTATTAATATAATTGGCCTGATATGTAATGGATTTCAGACCAACTGTCATGTTGGAAACCTTCCTCTTGACAGCGGATTCTCTACAGGGTTCAAGCCAGGCGAGTTTGATAGCTAACCAAACTCACCATTTACAGTCTCTAGTTGCTGTTGATTTGCTTTTCATGGGGTCAACAGTAAGGAGGAAAGGAGCTTGTATGTCATTACATAATGGAAATCTAGATGCAAGTCAAACTTGGACTAAAGCCTTTTGTAAAAAACTATGTCTTAGACTAATGGATTGAATGCATTTAACAAACGAGAGCATATAAAGGTGTGTGCATTTGCATGAGTTACACACAGCACACTGATTATTTTTGTCCTTTTCCATGAAGTGGTCTGTACGTATGCCACTTCTACCCTAAAGTATTGTGGGATTCCTCATAGCTCCTTAGAGCCAGTGAGGGACACACCAGGCTCCTATGATAAAGAAACCATATCGGCAGAAAAGCAGTTTCCTTTTCCTACCTCCTTCCTTCCTACTAGCTCTGTTCAGACAGTATTTATCATGCCTGAAGCATGTCTTCTTTGGTAGAGTGTCCATGTAGACTCTACCAAATTCCTGAATTAATTTAGCTTCAAACTAAATCCAATCCAAATCTTTCCAAAATAGTCAAGTTTGATAAGCCATAATCATCAAAACAAATAAAAGCTTTTAATAGTTCAATAATGTGTAGAGTACTTGTATACCTTTTTCCCTCTTTACGAAATGAACAATGAAAAATTCTGAACTTTTTCACAATATTCAATTATTTCTAAACAGTCCTTGTTAACCCTGTATAAAAAATGTATGTTGAACAATAGGCTGAAAAAGTTTTGAGCTTGCCATCATTTCAGCTGGAACCCCTGTGATGAGTCATAAGGAGGTAGGAAATCAAACGTATATAATCCGTGTGTCGTCTTGCCGAGGGGCTCGCTGCTCCTCCTTCTCTGTCTGAAACCCTTTCCAGCTGTCGTTGGTTTGGTATCGATCCTCGTCCCTGTACTGGAACATTTCCTCTTTTTGGCTTTTGACGTTTGTGTCATTCTCTCTGCATCTGTGCTGGTGATGTGATTTGGGTGGCTTTTCCATCTTTGTATTTTTGAGGTTGTTGGCATTGCCTTTGTGTGTGTGTTTTTTTTTAAATTGAAGGTAACCTTTTCTTTGTGCTTTTTATAGCCCGTTTCCCATAGTATAGTCTTTTGCCAAGCCCATCTTGCAATAACTTACAGGTTAACAGAAGTGGGTTGAAAACCACTGACCTCATATCTTAAAACTGAAGCCTATACCTGATCCAAAGTAATTAGCACTTTGCTTTAAAACAAAAAGCAAACTGATTGGATATGAATGAACTCAACAGTTGCAGCTGAAGATTTGATCAGCTTCTTAGGGAATATTTTACTGTTAAATTAGCAGGGCGTGTAAACATTGTTGACTTTTCTCGTTCATAAATGTAGAAATTTTCTGTCAGTACATATCAGCTGGGGAGCCCAATCTTGACAGATGATGCCCCAGTGTTCATTCTCTACTTCCTGGAGCTTTTTTATCACTTTCCTGAAATACTTAGTGGGATTAGGTTCTCAGGAGTTTTGTCCCCTTATTACTAAAATTTGGTAAGGAGACATTTTCTCATGTTCTGAAACGCACTGGGAAAAAATCTAGATCTAGATAAATACTTTTTTCTTAAAATAAGTGCATTTGTTCTTGAATTGAGGAGGTAAGTGAGACACTTTGCCAATGGACCAAGAAAACATTTACATTCCAAAAAAGAAAAAAAAAACTATTGCATTGTCTTATTTCAATCAATATTGTCTAATTATCTTATTTTAAGAGTAAAAATACTCATTCCATTGGCAAATCATCTTATTTACCTACTCAAGTTAAGCGTAAATACACTTAATTTTAGAATTTTGACTTATTTCTAAATTGTTTTTTGCAGTGAAGGCTATTGATATAGTTACTGATCTGTTACTTTTATTTTTATTTTTTTTTTACCATAAAGTTAAAAAAAAAAAGTGTTATTAAAAAAGAAAGTTAAAAGCTCTTTAAAGCAATATCTTTGAGAAACACATTTGCATTACTGTTAAACTTTTAGCCATGACTGCACTTATTGCATAATGTGGAAATAAAAAATGTTTTAATGCAATTTGGGCTAACTTGTAATAGAAAACAAACTTTTTTTTTTTTTTTTACTTCTGAAATCCTTTAATAATTAATAAAATATCCACTATTTGCTTTTTAAGAAGGCTAAATTAAATTGGATGAAGTTATTGTTAATTTGTTTTTATTAAACAATCTTAAAATTGGAAATTTTGCCAGCCCTTATGACTGAATTTTAAACAATAATAAGTTTAGTCTGTAATTAAATGTCAAATACTAATCAAATTGGAGAAAGTGTGAAGTACTAGAAATGAAATTCTACTCTACTCTACTGGTATCTCATCTCAAATAAGCTTTAACTAAGATGTTTAATCCCAATTCAGGACACATTGTGGGAATAAGATCTCCTGATTGTGCAACACATTTTTAGCTATTGTCTTTCAATCACATCATCTTTCATTGAAAGCTTTTAACAATCTTGCCCTCACATTTTGCAAACTTTT